CAAAGTGTTGGGATTCTAGGCATGAGCCACCATGCCCAGGCTTTTTGACTTTTTAATAACAGCCATTCTGATGGGTGTTTATTGTGGTTTTAATTTGCATTTTTCTGATGATTCATAATGTTAAACATTTTCCCATATTTTTATTGGCCATTGGTATGTCTTTTAAAAAATGCTTATTTATGTACCTTTCTCACTTTTTAATAGTGTTATCTGTGTTTTTTTAAGATTGGTTTGCTTGACTTCCTTGGAAATTCTGGATATTTGTTCTTTGTTGGATGCATAGTTTGCAAATATTTTCTCCCATTTGGAAGACAGTCTTTTCACTCTGTTATTTTTTTTCCTGTGAAAAAGCTTTTTAGATTGTCTATTTTTGTTTTTATTACATTTGCTTTTGAGGCCTTAGTCATAAATTCTTAGTCATAACCTAGGTAAAAGAGTTTTACCTCTTTTTTTTTTTTTTAGAATTTTTATAGTTTCAAGTCTAACATTTAAATCTTTAACCTATCTTGAGTTAATTTGTTTATGGTGAGAGATAGGGGTCTACTTTTATTTTGCATATGGCTATCTAATTTTCCAAGCACAATTTACAGAATAGGGTATGCTTTCTCCAGTGAATGTTGTCGTCAACTTTCCCAAAGATCAGTTAGTTGGCTGTAGATATGAGGCTTTTCTTCTGAGTTCTCTAATCTGTTACACAGATCTATGTGTCTATTTTTATATTAGTACCATGCTGTTTTAGTTACTATAACCTTGAAATATAATTTGAAGTCAGGTAAAGTGATGCCTCCAGCTTTGTTCTTTTTGCTTAGAATTGGTTAGGTTATTTGGGCTTTTTATATATATATATTTAGAATTGTTCTAATTCTGTAAAAAATTACATTTTGTTAGGAATTGCATTAAGTCTGTTGGGTGTATGGTTATTTTAATGATATTGATCCTTCCAATCCATGAGTATGACATGTTTTGCCATTTGTTTTTGTCAGCTACAATTTCTTTTATTCACGTTTTGTGGTTTTCCCTATAGAGATCTTTCACCTCTTTGGTTAAATGGGTTTCTAGATAAGTTTTTTATTGTTGTTGGCTTTTCCCATCCATTTGGTGAGGTTACTAAAGTGATTGGGCCCATGGATTTTAAAGTTTCAGGTGCTGACTTTGGTCTTGTGAAACTACATAATTGAGAATTACTTTGAAGTTGTTCAATGCCCCTTTGTCCCTGTGCATTTATAATAAGAATTCTATTAGCAGATATGCACGTATCACTCATTAAATCACTTCATGTGTTGCCAAACAACAGCAGGAATGGGGCTTCCCTATGTGCTCCATTCAATCAGTAAGGTCCTCTAGTCTTATTGTCTAAGTCTTATTTTTCTTCTTCTGATAAACATATTAATATATATGCAAATTTAAGAAGATCAATAACCCTTTTAAGCCACTATCTCCTCCTCAAATGCAAAATCAGTATATTATTTACCTCAATGAAAAGGTTGTGAGTGTTGAATGAAATAATGTAACAGCTCTTTAAATATTATAAAGACATGAGATATCATTCTTACTAATACAGATACTTTGCAGACTGCAAAAAAAAAACTCTTGAAACCACCCAGCACCTTACACAGTGTTATGGAGCCTACTACATGTTACTGGAATATGTTGACAGGGCTTCAGATTAACACATTGATGATTCTTAGGACTGTTTGGTTGTTATTATTTTTGTTTCTTTGTTGTCAAGCAAACTTAGAGCTATTTTATCAAGCATTGTCTGTATGACATATTACTTTTTCTATTTAATTACATCTGTATAATAATCCTGTAAGCTAGGTTTTTTTTTTCCTTTTACAAATGAATTTGAACCTTAAAAAGAAAAGAAAAAAAATACACAGCTGATAATGGTGGAGAAAGGATCCCAATTCAAGCCTTTCTCTCCATCCTATTCTTAACCCCTTTGTAAATTGCTGGTTGCCATTTCACCAAGTGGCCTATTGGGCTGGCCACATCTTATATGTAGTGATCATAACCAAAGCCTTATACTCAAACTTACTTTGCAAGATGTTGCTGAAGATAGAACACACTGCTGATATGGCTATTGAGAGGAACACAGCCAAAGACAGCTAATCTGCCTTACTGCTCGAGGAAGACTTTAAAATAAAACTGAACTGCAACATGTACTACCCTTCAAGAATAAGAAAAGATAGCTCAGAGGATAGAGACTCAGGCCCTGAAGGCAGAGGATTGAGCCACAGAGGATTATTTACCAGCCCTCAAGCCTAATGGAATTTGTCTTGCTGGATTTCAAAATTGCTCAGGATTAGTGATTACTTTCTTTCCTCCTTTTTTCTCCCTGGTAAATGGGAATGTCTATAAGGGTTGCCCATGCTTGTCCCACCACTATATTTTGAAAGAAGATAACTTGTTTTCTAGTTTCACTGATTCAGAGATAGGAATTTTGCCTCATCCTGGTCCATACCGAGAGTCACATTCATACCGGATTTAGATAATTTAGATAATGATGAGGTTTGGGACTTCTGAATTGAAAATATATAAATGTGAGTTGAAACTTGATTTCATGCTGCTATGGGTTGTGACTTGGAGGATGTTGGGATTGGGTTAATGTATTTTGCAGATGGGATAGATGTGAATTTTTGGGAACCAGAGGTTGGTCTGTAATAGGCTGAACAATTGAACAATGCCCCACCTCAAAGATATTGCATATTCCTGGAACCTGAAAATGTTATCTTACTTATAAGAGAAAAGGGTATTTGCAAATATAATTAAGTTAAAAATCTCAAGATGGACATATTTTTCTGTATTATGTGGGTGAGCCCCTTATGCTATAATGAATGCATCCTTAAAAGAGAGAGGCAGAGGGAGATTTAACACAAAGAGGCAGAAGACAGAAGGTGATATGATGATCTCAACAGAAAGAAATTTGAAGATGCTATACTCTATCTTTGAAGATGGTCAAAGGAGCCATGAGTAAAGGCATACAAGTGGGCTCTTGCCACTGAAAAAAAATAAGGAATACCAGCATCCACCAGAAGTCAAAAGAGACAAGAAATAGATTGTCTCCTGGAGCCTCTGAAAATGAACATAGTTCTGTCACACCTTGTTTTCAGCCCACTGATAGTGATTTCTGACTGCTGACTTCTACAACTGTGAATCAATCCTATTATTTTAAGCCATCAAGTTTGTGGTAATTTATTACAGCAGCCACAAGAAACTAATACCTTTAGTTTTTTTGTATTTTCTAATTATTATACTACTATGAGGGGGCTTATAGATTGCAAATGATGGAGTAAACATCCATGTTTCTCAGATTACTAGAAGTCTGCAGTAATAGGCCTAGTATTCACATTATGAGATTGTTGTAAGATTGTGTTAATTTTGTATTTGCATTACCTTTGGTTTCTAACATCAGCATTTTACATTATCTTAAGTCTTTTTAAATTTCAGAGAGATCCAAACATTAGCTAAAACTTAGTTAACACTAAGGGTACATACCATTGAAACTTCTGGAGCTGTTTACTACAGCACTCTCCTATGCCCTTATAGTCCTGACTTCCAACCTTGATCTAGAGCCACAATGATATATTTCCTTCACTTTCATTGGTCACAGAAGGAGGTCATTTCACCCAGATCTGCAGCCTAATCACAGGTCACATTCACGATTAGGCCATGGATCTGGGTAAAATGTTCTCCTTTTTCAAGAACTTCCCAAACAATAAATCAGTAAATTGTATAAATTTTTGCATGAAGTTTTATGAATAGAGGTTTTTTTTTCTGGGCATATCACCCTTTTTTAACTTCCTCTGTTTTTCTAGACTATATATCAATTTTTTTTCTTTAATGTTTCTTCTCTTTTTATGCTGATTATCATCTCTTTAAACTTACCCAACTCAGAAAGCTACAAATTCTCTCACCTCCCCATCCCACACGCACATAGCAGGGTGAACAAACCATGTGAGTGGCAGAAAACTCATGTCCTATATCAAAGAACACACTGCTTTCTGAAATAAATATGGCAACTAATCTGCCAATTAATTATTTGTCAATAATGAAGCTGCAGCCACATCAGCTTTTGACATGATTGTAATATTTCAATATTAAACTAAAAATTCATGTTCTGGGGACCATGACAACTTTGAATTAGATGAGCTCTAATTAGAAATGTCTAGTGCTCAGTACTTTCTACCAGAACTAGCAACTACACATAGAGACCTACAGTCTGATCTTTGATCATGAAACTTCAGATTAAACTACCTTGGTGCTTTAACAGAGCTAAACCAAGGCTCCACCTCTTCCTAATCATGCTCCTACCAATACTTTTAATGTAATGCCTTTTATTTATTCAATAGCTTGCTTTGCAGAGCTCACAGCTGTAACAAATGTGTCCTATAGTAAGCTCTTCCACAGTAACTGTAGCTTGTTGGTCATTAATTTCTATTTATTGAACTCTATGTTGTGACTGCCAAACTTAACTGCACCTTAGAATTACCTGAAGAGCTTTTAAAACTTGTCAATTAAATCAAATTCTCTGAGAGTGGGACCTCTCAGTGTTTTTTTAAAGCTCCCCAGTTTATTTCAGTGTGTGGCTAAGGTAAAGAACTACAACACAATGTCCTAATCTTCTCATTGTTGATCATTCTTTCTTCAATGTTCTTTTTCTTTATTCATCTTCACTTAACATTTTTTCTAAGGCTCTATTAGTATAGTTCTATAGTTTCTTTGAGTTAAAGCAAATTCAGATATTTTTACATTGCTGAAAGCTAAAACTCTGTTATTTAAATAAGTACTCGAAAGGCATGTGATGTCCATAAATTCTGTGTTAGATTCAAAATAGTTAAGCTTATTTTATACACTGTAGAAATTCTAAGGTTAATTTTTTAAATATTAAGTTTTAAAATGCTTACATTTACAAATTTGATCAATAGTTGCAACCTCCTGTTACTTTTTGCTTTTATAAATTGACCATTAGATGCTTATGCTTATGATCTGACACATTGAAATTATGCAAGGTTGAATTTTGAAAATTCTCCATCACTATATTTAATGGTTCAAGGAAATTAAATGATTCTAGTTACATATGTCTCAAAGACATAATGAAATTTAAAATTTGTTTCCCTCGGAAAAGACTGATATCTTTTCTTAAAAGATATTAAGAAAGGTATTCTTCCATGTCTGAAATTCCCTTAATAAGTTTCCATGATTAGCATCAATTGTTTAAGTGAACTTAATTTATGTGTGTCTTACTGAATTTTCTGTGGATAAAGGATGACTCAAATAAGTCTACAGTTGGCTATCTGTTTTTGCAAGTTCTGCATCCATAGATTCAACCAACCATTGATAAACAATATTCAAAAAAAATTAAAAACTATTTAAAAACAATATACTACAACAGCTATTCATTTAGCATTTACATTTTATTAGGTATTATAAGTAACCTAGAGATTATTTAAAGTATATGTATATAGGTTATATAAAAATACTACATTATTTTATATAATAGATTTGAGCAATCTCAGATTTGGGTAACCACAGAGGTCCTGGAACCCTACATAGATACCAAGGGATGACTGTAATTACTTGGAACTAGCTCTGACCATGATCAGTATACTCATTTACCAATTCTCTTCCATTTGACACTGTACATTCACAGGACCATGCAGAGGAGGGCAGGGCTAGCATTTACAAATCAGTCTTTACCAACTCTTCCAAAGAGATGATGTGTTTCCCAGACTTTCCATATCCTGATGACTTCCCCAACTTCATGCACAACAGCAAGATCCAGGAATATATCATTGCATTTGCCAAAGAAAAGAACCTCCTAAAGTACATACAATTTAAGGTAAGATGTTATTAACAAATTAGCTTTTGTCATAATGCTGAGGAAGTATATGTCTACTACTGGATTCTCATTTGTTCCTTTCAGTATCCCTTTCTAATTTGTCAGTGTTTTTAACTGTGACCTCTCTAACTCTAGGTTTAGAGAATTACCTTCTTCTCAAGAATACATGGAAAATTCACAAAATTTGACCATATACAATTCTTAGACCAAATCACCCCCAATTCAGAAATCAGTACCAAAGAAATAAATGCAAAATACCCATGAATTTGGAAATTAAAAACTCTTTTTTTCCCCCAAATAACATATAGGTCAAAGAAGATTTCAATGGGATTTTAAAAACATCTATAACTGAATGTTAATTTAGTCTATGTAACAATACTTGTGGAAAACATAGGAAGCTCTATTTTCATGAAAATTATAAATGTAAATGTTTATATCAGAAACAAAAGTTTAAAAAATAAGGTAAAAAAGTTTAAAAAATTAGTAAAAGAAAACCAGAATAAACTCAAAGAACATAGAATGAAGGGGATATAAAATTTATAAAATATAAAATTAAGCATATGTACAAAATCAAAAGTTATCTGAAAACACTAATAAAATAAACAATAGTGGCCAAGTGCAATGGTCCATGCTTATAATCCCAGCACTTTGGGAGGACAAGGCAGGCAGATTGCTTGAGTACAGGAGTTGGAAACTAGCCAAGGTGACATAGAGAAACCTCATCTCTACAAAAAATACAAAAATTAGCTGGATGTGGTGGCACATGCCTATGTTCCCTACTCAGGAGGTTGAGGTGGGAGGATTGCTTGAGCTCAGGAGGTAGATGTTTCAGTGAGCTGAGATCACACCACTGCACTCCAGCCTGCATCAAAAGCAGACAAGATAACATGAAATGGGAAAATTACAGGCCAATATCCTTCATGAAAATCAATGCAAAAATCCTTCAAAAATGAATCCAATAGAGTATTAAAAGAGATTTACTGCCTTGATTGAGCTGAGTTTGGCCTAGGTATGCAAGGGTATTTTAATACTAAGTAATACAAATATATGTTTTGCTACAAAAACCTGTTAGAGGCAGAAAACCATGTTTGTTTAACAAATTCAGAATTTAAAATTCAGTTAAATTAACCAAAATTTAACACCTACTTGTGCTTGAAAGAAAAAAAAGGAAAACTCTCACCAAACTTAGAGGGGAATTATCCTGAGCCAGCAAAACATACACAAACATTACTATTATTATTATTATTATTATTATTATTTTGAGACAGAGTCTCAGTCTGTTGCCCATGCTGGTATGCAGTGTTGTGTTCTCAGCTCACTGCAACCTCTGTTTCCCAGGTTCAAGCAATTCTCCTGCCTCAGCCTCCCAAGTAGCTGGGACTACAGGTGTGTGCCACCACGCCCAGCTAATTTTTGTATTTTTAGTAGAGATGGGGTTTCACCAGGTTGGTCAGGATGGACTTGATCTCTTGACCTCTTGATCTGCCCACCTTGGCCTCCCCAGCTGGGATTACAGGTGTGAGCCACTGCTCCCAGCCACACAATCATTATCTTAAATCTGCACTGTTCAATATAGTAGCCACTAGCCACAAAACTGAGATGTGCTGTAAGTATAAAATATGTACTGAATTTTCAAGTCTTACTATGAGAAAAAGAATGTAAAATACCTTAATAAATTTTATTTTAATTACATTTTGAAATGCTAACATATCAGATAGATTGAGTTAAATAATACATTTTTTTCCACTTTTTAACGTGACTATTAGAAATGTTTTGATTGCATATGTTGCTCATATTATATTGGTATCGGTCAGTGCTGTGCTAAACAATGAAAAGTTAGAAGCATTAACTTTAAAGTTCCAGAACAAGATAAGAATTCCTAAATACTATTTTTTTTTAATAATCTTAAGAAATTTAAGAAACAGTGCAATAAGAAAAATAAAAGGAATGACAACTCAAAGTCAAACACAGTTATTGAAGATGATATGATTGTCTATGTAGTTAATCCAACAGAATATATAAATTATTAGAATAGCAATACAAAAAAATTAGGCAAGGTGGTGGTATATAAGATCAATATGTAAAAATAAATTGCATTTCTGTGAACCAGCAGAAAGCAGAAACCATACCCAAAAAAAAATTGCCATTTACAATAACAAAACTAATTTACTGAATAGTCCCAGAGTTATTCTAAATGAATGATGTATTGGGTCTTATGGGTTCATAAGTGCTTACTTTATTTCATAACCAACAAAAATGTTACATATATGAGTCTGTGTGTGTGTGTGTGTGTGTGTGTGTGTGTATTCTCCAATATGTATGAAATAGTACATAATAAAGTTTTCCAGAATAATTAATACCAAATAGAGAGTCTTTTTCCAATATAATCAGAAGAATTGAAAGATTTTTTTTAAAACAGGGAGCATACCAATAGGCATCCATTTAGCTCTGAACAAATATTTGTTGATAACCTAGTCAAAGCTACTCAATATATAATCCAAATGACATCAACATCACCTAGGAGTTTGTTAGAAATTTGAAGAATTTTAATTTTAATTTAACAAATTTAATAATGTATCCCATATGTTCTAGTTCAGTACCTCAAAGATAGAGTATATCAGTACAAATAGGTAGATACCATTTAGCATTTTGATTTATTCTGAGGGAATTTTAAATTGGCCAGTACATCAAAGATAGATGTATCTTTGATGTACTGGCCAATTTAAAATATAGATATGTATCTTTGATGTAGTCCCAGAGTTATTCTAAACAAATGATGTATTAGGTCTTATGTGTTCATAAGTGCTAATTTTATTATATTTCACAACAAAAATGTTACATATATGTGATTGTGTGTGTATATTCTCCAATATGTGTGAAATAGTAAGTAATAAAGTTCAGTACATCAAAGACAGATGTACTGAACTGGAACATATGGGAATGTGATTCAGAACATTACTGGTCATCAGATTTTCTAGTACACATGATGTACACCTCTTGTAAACTGTAATTGAATTCACTGCCATATCTTCAAGTGGTGTCACTCTTGTACTCCAGAAAATACTGGTCATGCACAATAAATCATGCATGGACAAATATACAGGTACCACTTAGCATTTTGACCTATTCTGAGGGAATTTTAAATTTGTAATATGTACCTTAATAATGAGTTAAATATTTTTCCTAACCCACTTCTCTTTTTTTCCATACTGTTTCTGCCAAATCCATTTGCTAGCATAGAAAAGAAGGGTTTCTTTCTGTATTTCTCTTAGACATTTGTATCCAACGTAAATAAACGTCCTGATTTTGCAATGACTGGCCAATGGGATGTTACCACTGAAAGGGATGGGCAAAAAGAATCGACTGTCTTTGATGCTGTGATGGTTTGTTCCGGACATCATGTATACCCCAACCTACCAAAAGAGTCCTTTCCAGGTAAGGCCAAAATGTAAGCTTCTGTCTACATATCTGACAAAAATGAACATCTCGATAATGTCTTCTTTTTCTAAGCAGATTAAATTAAAATATACTTCTGTTATATCGAATACACTTGGAGTGTTAAAAAAGCACATTATTGTGACTGCATCTACTCACAAGGTCCCTTCTGTTAAAGTCTTTTTTTTTTTTTTTTTTAAATGGAAATGAAACTGAGTCATATGTTTCTTACTTTTCTCTCAGGACTGGAACACTTTAAAGGCAAATGCTTCCACAGCAGGGACTACAAAGAACCAGGTGTATTCAAAGGAAAGCGTGTTTTGGTGGTTGGCCTGGGGAATTCGGGCTGTGATATTGCCACAGAACTCAGCCACACAGCAGAACAGGTACTATACCTGAGTACTCAGGGGCTCTCTTATAAGAGACAGAAGAGTTATTATCATTTGAAAGGTGTGATATGAAATGTAGGGGAGTTAGGGGAGGGTATCTGATGTAAAGACTAAGAGGAATTTCACATATCTGAACTTCCCCAAGTAACAAGTGAGGTTTTAAATCGTTTGATAGACAAAGGCAGAACATCAGCAAGGAGTGATACTGTCATTCAACAATCTCCTTCTTCAAGACATTTGGTGCCTAATGTGTCTGATCAATTTCTTTAAAACTAGCACAGATTTAGGGTTAAGGCTATGACTCTGCAACTCCGGCAAGTCCTTCAGTCTCTCTGAGTCAGGTTTCTCAATGGTAAAACAGATAAAAAATAGAACCTACTTGTTATAAAGCGCTTGTTATAAAGGTAAAGCTTTTGAACGAGATTTAAGCAATATAGTGTGGCTCATTTATTCATTCATTTATGCATGCATGCATACATTTATTCCATGACTACTTACTGAGAGCCTACTATGTGCCCGGCACTGACTTGGGTGCTGAAGAAAGTGGTAAACATAACCGGCATGATTCCTGCTCTGGAACAAGAGCTGCCGCTAGAATAAAGGATAAACAAGTGATTCAGGCACTAAATGCTGTGATTACAGAACTGGATGCTTCACAAAGGAGGTAGAACGGAACCAGTCCCTGAACAATGAATATAAACCATGTGACTGAAGAGGTGACAGAGGCTGTTCTTAGAATTGGAAATGGAAATGCTGTGAGCAAAGGCATGAAGACAAGAAAATGAGCACTGCATATTTGACTATCATAGACTATAGGTTCATGTTGCCTGAATGGGGGTTCTTAATGCCAACAATCTGTATGATGCATTATGGTACTCAAATACTTTCATGTAAATGAGCTCCTCTGCTTGTGGGAAGAAGGTAGTTTTACTACAGAAAGGACAAATAAGGACCAGAAATGTCAATTGCCTTCTTGAAAGTCATCGAGAAAATTAGCGTTTGAGTCATGAAGTGCTACGGAACTGAAGGCCAAAGCTTCTGAAACCAGGGAACAGTAGTTTTAGGATTGAGTTACAGGAAAGAAAGATTGGGATTAGATTTATTGCATATTTCAAGGACTTGAGTGACAGGATAAAAAAAATTAGATTTCTCCATAAATAAAGGTAAATCACTATTTCAGCTTCCTGGGTTTAGGAATTTTATGATAAATTCATAGTTTTAAGAGATTTGTATTTGCATATGTGATTATTTGTAAATGTGATAAATTAGAGGGAAGATCAATTTCAGAGGCTCTCCATTTAATTAATTGATCCCTTGGTCTTTTTTTTTTTTTTTTTTTTTTTTTTTTTTTTTTTTTTTTTTTTTTTTNTTTTTTTTGAGATAGAATCTCACTCTGCTGCCCAGGCTGGAGGGCAATGGCATGATCTCGGCTCACTGCAACCTCCGTCTCCCGGGTTCAAGCGATTCTCTTGCCTCAGCCTCCCAATTAGCTGGGATTACAGGCGCCTGCCACCATGCCCAGCTAATTTTTGTATTTTTAGTAGAGACGAGGTTTCACCATATTGGCCAGGCTTGTCTAGAACTCTGACCTCAGATGATTCTCCTGCCTTGGCCTCGCAAAGTGCTAGGATTACAGGCATGAGCCACTGTGCCTGGCCTCCTTTAGTCTCTTATTTGTCTAGTTCCTCTTATAACAAATGCCTTAAAGTGATATGGTATACAAAAATTGGTTTTAAAAAAGAGAAACAGAGAAAGCCTAAAAACTACATGATTAGAGATTAGCATAACAGAAGGGGAAGGAAAGTAAAGTGACATTTACTGAGCACATACTGTCTGCCAGGTGACATTAGCCATGTAACACAGTTTATCACATTGAATTAACCCTTACACAAATTTGATGAAGAAAATTCTGATTCTCTTCATCTAGGGATGAGGGAACAAGATTAGGGAAGTTAAAGGAATTTTTTTCAAATCACATCATTAATAAATAGGAGAGCCGATGTTTGGGCATATGGTTTTCTGATTGCAAATTTCTCACCTTTTTTCCAGCTAGTAGCCAGCATTTTGTTTTAAAATGCCTATTTTGAGATCATACCTGCTTATTTGTAGACAGCAATAAACACTAGGAAAAATATGACTAGAATTCAGTTATTAGTCACCTATATCAGAGATTTGATTAAAATATGAAAATCTGTCTACAGCAGCATGACAGGGTGGCTGGCCCTAAGATGTATATGTAAAGTTCAGAAGTTTCTTTGGGAACACTCTCAGGATCAATACTTCTGCAGAAAGGGAAGGAAGCTTCCATTTCCCTTACTTTGAAGCTGGGATGGTCCTTTGGCATTGCCCCAATTGGAGGTGAGGGACTGGGCCTTTATACATCCCTACTGACCAGTCACTAGATGGAGTAAACTCAGAAAGAGTAGAAGTCATTGGGCAAGGTCCCTCTCTTCAGCCAAAACAATTGTCAAAGAGTACTGACAGCTGAGAGATGCTTTCTAACACCTCTTTCTGGAGCTGGGGTAACAGATCCTTTCCTCGAGAGGGATCTGGGGAGCTCATCAGAATATCCAGTGGAAACAATCTTTACTTTCATGGTTGAACTGGTGTTTTTAAGGTCATCATCAGCTCCAGAAGTGGCTCCTGGGTGATGAGTCGGGTCTGGGACAATGGTTATCCTTGGGACATGGTGCTTGTCACTCGATTTGGAACCTTCCTCAAGAACAATTTACCGACAGTCATCTCTGACTGGTTGTACATGAAGGAGATGAATGCAAGATTCAAGCATGAAAACTATGGCTTGATGCCTTTAAATGGGTAATGCAGAGTTAAATGTGGTATGTCTCCTGACCTTCAGTTCAGTGTCAACAACCCTTAATGTGCTGTAACTCCAAAACAAATCAAAGTATTAGCAATCACATCTCATATATCAGAAGATAAAGAACTGCAAAAATTAAGAGTGATTTCCTATTTTGCAATCCTCCTTATTTACACAGCTGGAAAATTATATAATGCCTCAGGAATTAGTTCTGGGAGTAATAATAATCAAAGTTAACCTGTTGTAAGCATTTTATACATGTCAGAGTTTTAGCAAGACTCTGCTAAGGCTCTGACATATATTATTTCACTTTATCCTTATAACAATGATGAAGACAGCTCTATTAGTATCTCCATTTTAGAGAAGATATAACTGATTTCAGTGTAGCTAATAACTTTACCAAGGGCCTACAGCCAGGAAGTAGAAACAGCATTCCAAACAAACCCAGATCTGCTGATTCCAGAGCCTCTCACTCTTAACCACTTACTCTACTGCCTTTCACTCAATGGCAAAGTTAAGCACAGCAGGAGAACTTTTCCTGTCCTACCTTTCCCTTTTCATTTCATTACCCACCCCTTAATGGACCCCTTTCACTAAACACATACATGCCAATTGCTTGCATCTTCAGTCTCCTTCCCATCTTCTCCTATAACATCCTCCAAGCCAGTAACATAACAAGAAATGACTTTGACACGGGGTGAAAAACTCAAGTTACGAGCTGTTTATATCAAAGTGAATTCATTAATTTGACAAACATTTATTACACATTTATTATATGCCAGGTCCTGTGTTTAGCCCTGTGGATATAGCAGCAAACGAAACAGGCAAAAATCCTTGTCCTCATGGAACCTACATTCTAAGTGGTAGGAAACAGACAATAAACAATAGCAGAAGCTCATATGGTGATGTGTGCTGCAGAGAAGAAAACAAAGCAGGCAAGGGTAATGGCAAGCGCTGTCAGGACAATTTCCGGGGTATGTCTCAGGGAGAAGGAGACATTTAAGAAAACCTCTGAAGGAGTTGAGGGAATGAGCCATCAGGATCTGTGGGGAAGAGTATTTCAGACTGAGGACACAGTCAGAGCATTGTCTCTTCATGGGCAGGGCTGGCATGACCAACAAACAACAATGGCTTCTCTTTCTGGAGAAAAGGGAATGAAGGGAGAGTGCCAGGGGATAAAACCAGAGACATAAAAATTGTCAGATAGTGTGGGCCTCGTAGATCATTGTAAGAACTCTGGCTTGTACGCTGAAAGCAATGGGAAACTGTAGCAGGTATCTGAGCAAATGAATGACAAGACCTAAGTTAGCATTGCAGAGATTGTTCCAGCTGCTGTGGTCATCATTCACTGTAAGGGTAGGGCAAGGAAGGAAGCGAAATGACCAGTTAAAAAGCTACTGTCAAAAATCTGAATCAGAGGGGATGTTGGTCTGGACCAGGATTGTTAGCAGTGAGTGATCAGAATTGAACAGATTTCTGGATAGCTTGAAGGTAGACCCAAACAGGATTTTCTGTGGACTGGACAAAAGACAAGAGAGCAAGGAAGGAGTAAGAATATCTTTAAGACATTTGAAAAAGGATGACGCTGACATTTACTAAGATGTGAAAAACTACAGGAGGAACAGAAGTTTAGTTTTAGATATATTAAACTTGGAATGTCTATTAGACATTCAGGTAGAAGGATGTTGAGCAGCAGTGGGAAATACAAGACAGAAGAGATGCTCAAACCATAAGTTAAAATTTTGGAGTCATGAGAAAATAGTAGTACCTGGAGAAATGGAACTAGATGACATCTCTTGAAGAATGTGTGTAAATGGAGGAAACTAAAGGACTGAGGGCTGAGTCCTGAGGTATGCCATTGTCCAGAAGTCAGGAAGAGGAGATGTCTGTGGGAGACAGAGAAAGAATAGCCAGTAAGGTAGGAAAGGAATTGAGAGAGAGTGATGATCTGGAAACAAAATGAACACGGTGTTTCAAGAACGAGGAAACCATCAGCTGTGTTAAACGCTAAGTCAAATAAAGGGGAACGTGAGAGTGGACCACTGGATCTGGTAGCCTGATTCTGATGGCCCTGACGAGAGTAGTTTCAGTGTGGTGGTGGACGTGAAAACCTGACAGCCACAGGTTTAAAATAAATGGCAGGTAATAAGTGCAAGTGAGTCAAGCCTTTTTCCAAGTAAGATTCCAACCAATCTCATTGTCCAGTTCAGTTTGTTCTCCAGTGGAATCTGCCTGTAGCACTCTCTCAGAGCTCCCACAACCATACAAGAACAACACTCTTTCCTTTAGCTTTATTCACATTCATCCATGGGTTCAGACTTATCTTCTCCCACTACAAATATTACTGAATAAAAAGTAGTCAAAAAAAAGTAGTTTCCAGACTCACAGTGGCCAAAGCCTCAAACTGGCACCCTCCCCCTGGCCTTATTTAAATTCCTGGGTGCTCCCTCCCTCACCTGACTGGTTCCTCTGTCTGCAAAGGGTTCATACTTCATCCCTCAAGAGGCTACCTGCAGCTTTCATACCTTTGACTTTCCTCCTCCTATTAGATCTTTACCACATTATGATGACTACCTTGGAGTATACTGAATTGAGAATAGCAGTTAATGTTTTCAAGCACTATGCATATGCTAGAGACTGTGCAGAATTCTTTATATCACTCAGGGAACTTCTGAGGTAGTACAAATGTTACTCACATTCCAAATGAGAAATATGAGACACCAAGAATTTTAAAAATCTAATCTTATCAAAGTTCCCATGGAATAAGTAGCAACTAAAAAAATGTAAACACCAAGGTACCCTCACTTCAGAGTTTTTCTTGAAATAGGCTTTAACAGGGAACTGGGTATAAGTGTTTATTCTGGGATTTGGAAAGAGTTCCATGGAAGAGAAGGATCACAGAAAAGAGAGATGGGGCTAGCAAATGGCAACTTCTCTTACTTCCCAATGCTGACTCCCATCAGTTTTGTTCTTCAACCATATTAGAGACACTCTGACTCAGAAAAAAAAAGTCTTGGGTCATTTTTTCCTTATCAATTTGTATATAGACCAATAAAACAAGAAGGAAATATTATACTTCTAATAATTGTCTCTGTTTTCCATACAGAGCCCTGAGGAAAGAGCCTGTATTTAATGATGATCTTCCAGCTCGCATTCTCTGTGGCACTGTGTCCATAAAGCCTAATGTGAAGGAATTCACAGAGACCTCAGCCATTTTTGAGGATGGAACCATATTTGAAGGCATTGACCGTGTAATCTTTGCAACAGGATATAGTTTTTCCTACCCCTTCCTTGATGAGTCTATCATCAAAAGCAGAAACAATGAGATTGTTTTATTTAAAGGCGTCTTTCCTCCTCTACTTGAAAAGTCAACCATAGCAGTGATTGGCTTTGTCCAGTCCCTTGGGGCTGCCATTCCCACGGCTGACATCCAGGCCCGCTGGGCAGCACAAGTAATAAAGGGTAAGTCAATAAAGAGACTCATGCATTGGGAAGATGAATGCCAGTGAGCATAACCTTGGATCTTTGTGAAAACAATAATCTGAATTACAAGGTCCCCTTCAGTTTCGAGAATTTATACTTATATATTCTTTGATGCTATATTTTGGAAGTAATTTAAAGTATACCAGTTTGGAATTATTTTACAATAGTACAAGATATTATTAGAGGAGGTATTTTGTGACTTATAACTTCTTACAGCTGATAATTATCTAAGATCATTCATTAGACTTGAGACCACCAGAGCTTGCATGCACTTAAGACTGAGTGAATGACAACTTTATAAAATTGTGACTGCAAAACTCAGTAGAATTACATTGCTTGAAGACTTCATAAGAAAACATGTTTATAAGCCAATATTCAGCCAACTTCAAAAAACCACAGTTATGGAAAATATGATTGCTAGAAGGCAATGGCTTTTCTACTACTATTTTTTTCTTCTGTGACGTGTGTTAAATAAGAGCAAATAGTGGATCAATAGAGGCAGAAAGTACTAACTGTGGTAGATGATCAGTCTGTAATATATGAGAATACTGAGGAAACAACAAACTTGATTGGGGTCGGGCAAGAAAGGTAGGCAGCATCCCCCAGCAGCAGGCTGAAATACGGTTGTGGTAAGATGCAGATCATATGACCAAGTAGCCAGGAAGATAATGGCATGAAATTTCACTCAGGGTTCTACTTAAGAGTTCAGACCCAGAGAGGCTGGCATTAAAGGAAGGGTGGGACCCTTACTCTCTATGAGGACAAGAGTTGTCAAGTTGGGCTCTGAAGAAATGAAACAAGGCAATTTATGGGGAAAATTGATGTACAAGGCACAGGCTCTCTTAAGGGAAATGAGAGACAAGGAATACAACCTAGGTTTGGGAAACCAGAGTACTAACACAAGAGGGGCTAGTTACAAGCAACCCAATGGCCATAGTTGGTGGGATAATGAACAGTCTCTATCTTTTCAGTCTCTTCCCCTCAAAAGAACAAGTTCTAAGACCTGGGACCAGGTCATGTATACAGAAGTGTTCAAGTGACCCTCCCTGTCAGAAGTGTAGAAATGGGAAATTAAGCAAGTCATTGTAGGTCTTGAGCAATCATATCTGGGCTGAGTTTTATTCTCTTTCAAGTTGATCCCAGGATTACTAAAGAATCATCCTAAATTTCAAGTACTTCTGAACACAAAAGCATGTTTTGGTCTAGGTTTCAGAGAACTCTGCAAACTTATGTAAACCTGAGATCCTGGGTCAGCCCCTAGTCAGATCTATGTCTCTCTTATGTCCTTGGTGACTTGTCCATATCCTCAGTCACATTCAAGGACTATTAGCTTTCCATAGAAAGACTTAGGCCTTCACCAAACTCTATATCTTATCTTCTGGAAATTCCATTTTCTGGCAAAGCAGGATTAATTTCTATGAAATTTTTTCTTCTTAAATCTTGAAAAGTAATGCTAATTCACCTCTGTTTGGCCATAATTTTAAAGGTAACATTCTTAAATTATGACTGAGAGATTAGAATATATCTATGACACGGACTTTAAACATATTATAACCAGTTTAAGAGCAAAGCTATTTTGGTAATTTTTAACTATTATGACAAATATGAGTTCTGAGAAGACTAGAACTGAATTTGATGTCTGCCTGAAAATAATCACCAATTAATGTGATTCATAACTTATTATTAAAAAGGGAAAATTGCAGGCTGGTTTTATGCCAGACTCATTTAACTATCACCATGTCTTTTTCTTTTTCAGGAACTTGTACTTTGCCTTCTAGGGAAGACATGGTGAATGACGTTAAAGAGAAAATGGACAAAAAGCTCAAATGGTAAGAGTACCTATTGTAATAGGAGTGTAGGATTTCCATAGAAAAGTCAGATTTTGTGAATGCTTGGAAGTGTTTTAATCTTAAATGATCCTGAATGAAGTCATTAGAATGACAGCTACAAGCTATATTCATCCATTCAACAAATATTAAAGACCTACGTTGCTCCTGACATTGTATAAGTTCTTTTTAGTGCAAGACACAGAGTGAACAGTAGGATTGAGAATCTACATTATACAGTTTTAGGCCTCCATGCTTCCTGTAATATATCATAGAAAGAAAACCCAGAAAGGATTTGAAATCAGAGGAGTTTGGGAACACATGGATGTGAATTTCCATTCTCTAGCCCATAAATCCTTTAAGTCATAGATGATAGTTTAAAGGTATATCTCTAATGAAAATGACTGAGATAAATGAGAATAAATCTGGAGAACTGGGCTTCATTTCTAGTTGTCACTATTTCGCTCAGTGCCATGAACTATTATAGAAGCATAATTTGAGCAAGAGACAATCTATCCAGTTATAAATAAGGATAAAAAAATGTCTTCCTCATCTGCCTTGCAGTGTTGGGGCATTTCCAAATGAAACCAATACGAAAGTTCTTTTTAAAAATACAAAGTACAGGATAAACAAGTGATAGTCTCCTTACTTACACAAGAAATTGATGCCGTATGTCAATGCAGTGTGGGAAAATTTTTTTAAAGAGATTAATGTTAATTCTCACTGATAAAAGGTTGTGAGCCATTTTCTTGGTGTTGCTTCTATATAGAATTTGGGTATCCACAGTGGTGTTTTCTTTCCCAACTCTAGGTTTGGCAAAAGCGATACCATATGCACAGATTACATTGAATATATGGATGAACTCGCCTCCTTCATTGGGGCAAAGCCCAATATCCCATGGCTGTTTCTCACAGATCCCAAGTTGGCCATAGAAGTTTATTTTGGCCCTTGTAGTCCCTACCAGTTTAGGCTGGTGGGCCCAGGGAAGTGGCCAGGAGCCAGAAATGCCATCCTAACCCAGTGGGGCCGGTCACTGAAACCCATGCAGACACGAGTTGTCAGGAGTCTTCAGAAGCCTTGCTTCTTTTTCCATTGGCTGAAGCTCTTTGTAATTCCTATTCTGTTAATTGCTGTTTTCCTTGTGTTGACCTAATCACCATTTTTTCTAGGACTTCTGAAAGTTACTGACAATACCCAGACAGGGGCTTTGCTATTTAAAAATTAAAATTTTCACACCACCTACTTTCCTATTCCGCATCTTTTGCCAGTATTCTGTAGACATTGTCAGTAACACAGTGTTATTTCTAGGCTTTGAAATAGCCACTTTAAGAATCATGTAATGATCTAAAGAGAGCACTAATCATTTCTGCTTAGGTTCCACTAATACTTCAAAATTAGAACTATGTTTTTTATGTCTAATTTAAATCATTTCCTGAAACATTTTGACATGATTCCTTTTTCTCTTTAAATGATGTTTGAAAGATGTATTTTAAATCTAAACAAAGAGCAAATTAAGCAGAATAATTATAATACGATATTCTCCAGCTACTTCTATAAGCCATTTGGAGGGTCAAGGAGGAGTTTGGCTATTATATTATTTTTTGTTTGTTTTGTGCAACATGTTCCAGGTAAGACCTCCTCTTCCCTGGCCAAAAAATATAGCATAAAGACCTGATCTATATTGAAAGTTAACACAAAGAAATTTACTTTATATTCTCAATAAGGAAACAAACTTTCCAACTTGGAGTGGCAAAAGAATAACAGTAACAATGAGTATAGTACCAAATACACCTTTTAGTTAAATCTTTTAAAAAATTAAATATTCAGCCAAAACTGTGACAAAAATCTAAAACTTCTAAAGACTTATAGTATTATATTCTACCACAATACATTAAACTTCTGAGGTACCAGAATAAATCTAAAATAGTATTTTATAATGTATTACATTTTATAATTAAAATTTTCATAATTATGATTTTTAAATTTTGACATTATAGAGCAGATAAAATCATCTATCAGAATCATCAGTCATCAAAAGGCTCCGCCAGTTATTATACTACATATTTCTTATAATACCTTCACTTCCAACTTAGGTCAGTGGAGCAAACATATGTGTATATGTGACTATATATCCTTCTTAAAGGTCCACCAGTCCCATTCTTGTGATAATCCATTAATTCATTAATCCATAAATGATGTTTCCATTTATTTAGGCAGAGCCCTCATAACCCAATCACCTCTTAAAGGCCTCACCTTTCAATACTATTACATTGGGGATTAGTTTTCAACATGAGATCTGGAGGAAAAAAACAAACCACTGCATCATACGGAAAAGGATATTAGAAATTGGATTATAGCAATTTAATCTTCAATTTATTTTTTGTACTGACATTTGTAACATGAAGTTAAAAATTTGTATGAGCTGTGTTCAATTTTTAGTTACTTGATTTCATTTAGGGTACAGGTTTTCAAGAAAAGCTTTGCTTCATTTGGAATATTTGGGAGTATTTCACATCTGGTAAGGAGATGTTAAAAGCAGAATGGTATCTTTCTACCGTAAACAATTAGGAATAGGACAATATTTTAAATTGTATACAACATTTATGATAAATCTGAGCTTCAAAGATAAAAATATAAAGAAAGTAGCAATAGGAAAGAAGAAAGCATTAGGTACAAATGTGATCTTCCTTTCTTCTCTGTCTATATCCGCCATATGTGTGTATGTGAGTATATATATATTGACATACATCATATTGAAAGGAAATCATTGTGATGACAAGACATTTGCACTCCCACGGTGATTGCAGTACTCTTCACAATGGCGAAGATATGGAATCAAGCTAAGTGTTCATCAACAGATAAATGGATACACCACATTTTCTTTACCCATGTACAAAGAAATGATAAATAGTTGAGGTAATGGATATGCTCGTTACCCTGATTTGATCGCTATTCATGATATACATACATTAAAATATCGCACTGTACGCCATAAATTGTAAAATTATGTGTCCATTCAAAATAATAAAAGCAATAAAAAGATATTATAGGTCAGTGGTTCTCAACACAAAACAACTTGGTGCAATGCTCTCTTTTAATAGCTAGAATTTTGTAACAGTTTATCTACAGTCCTGAAGTAAAATTAATACACAAATTTGTTAAATGTGTGCATGTGTTTCACTGTAGTCCCAACTGTAATGTATAGAATCTTTTAGAGTTATGCAACTGTAAGGACAAATGTCCTCACTTCTGTCTCCCTCCACAGTCTCCACCTAGGTCAAAGCCACCATTAACTCTTACCCACTATTCTATGAGCCTCCTACTTGATTCCATTCTTGCATCTTAACATTCAATTTTGTGTGCAGCAGCAAGAGTAAGCTTTCTCAAATACAAATAAGATCTTGTCACCCTTCTTGCTATATCACATAAGGACACAGCAAAAGGATAGCAGTGCATAAACGAGGAAAAAAGCCTTCACCCAACACTGCTGGCAGCTGATCTCAGACTTCCAGCCTCCAAAAACATTGAGAAATAAATGTTTGTTGTTAAGCCACGCTATTTCTTATATTTTGTTATGGCAGCCCAAACTGACTAAGACATAAGAATATTACTTACTTTGAAGCTATTTTAGGGATAATAGTCAATTCGTGGAAAGAAGTTCATGTTACAGAACCATGAGGCTAATCTACTTGCTGCATGAAGTCTACATGGTTACCTGGTTAACTATTTTCACCATTTTATACAGGTGGAATTACCTTGTATTCGTAGGACAGGATATTCTTCTCCAAGTGCTCTCATATTTACCTTACACCCTCTTTTCATGAATAGCAGTAAACTTACCAGAACATTCTCTACACCCATATTACAGATGAAGAAATTTATACACAAAGGGCAGTGGTAGAGCAAGGAAACTTCCAATTCCTTGCATGATTCTGGCTAATCTTAAGACAGGAGGGAAGCACCTATAATCCAGAAACTCAGCTGTCTATTGACAGTTCTCTTGGGTTAAGATAATAATATTTAACAAAAGAAGTTCTGTCCACCATCTTATAATTCTGAGATGGTACCTATACTCCTCAAACCTTTTCCTACAGAGATTTATACCTGCTGTATTTAAAACTTCTCTTCATAGGCTTGGTTAACAGATTTAACTATGGATAAAGCCCTGAAAATAGAGAGTGCTCTAAGTTGGAAACATAAGTTGGTTAGGATAATTGCCCATCTCTGATTGCCGAAAGGATTAAGTTGTAATACTAGTCTCCACATGAAAATGTATACCCTCTTGTTTGTTGTGTAACTGTGTAGTTATCCAACAAGCAGAAATTTCAATCCTCTCTGTGTTAAGTTTGTGACACAGGTCTGCAGAAAGTCATTTCCTGATATTAGGAAAAACTATGGAGGCAATTAGGTTTACTGTGAAGTTACCAGCTTCTCCTTTCTGCCTTTGTGCCCCGTAGAATATTTTCATGGCACTCAAATAGCCACTGCCTTCACATTTCTTCTGCTTTCATACTAATCTCATTAAAGGATCTGTAGTTTGCTCCCACTAAGAATGTTTTCCCATTAAGAAAACAGCTGAAAATGTCACCTTTCTTGAAGTGAGTAGATTTCAACATGTCATATAAGTGATTACTACTCTAATTATTGATGTATGAGAATCTAGTACCTCAAATGTAGGCCAGTGTGAAAAGGACAAAGTCCAAAATCATGCATATCACAGGCTTATGTAACTTACTTGACCATGATAGAAAGAAAGGTGGCAAGTGGTCAAAATTCCAGAGTCCAACTTGATTCATTTCACAGCTGGCATTCAAGAGGATGAGCTAGTGAGTTTCTTGTTTTCTTGGTCATAGCTATGATGAAGACAAGGTGAGTTTCTCAGTTGTAACAAGAGTCAAAGTCTTACAAATGATTCCAGAAGACCAATGTCATTTTAGATAGCCCACACATTGGTGGGGTAAGACTCCAGCCAGAAGTAAACAGCATGAAGAAATGATTTAGCTCCTAATTACAGGTAAGGGATACCCTTAAGAACCGGAAAGAATACCAGAGTCCCAATCAAGTGGTCTAGAGATCAGAATAAGGCCCCAATAAGTCAAGTCATAGAGCACAGGTATGTTCTCTAAAAACAGTCCCCCAAGAAGCATATGACAATGCAGGACTAAACATGCAAGGAATTCATCAGGAGAATACCTGTGAAAGCTAATAGGAAAGGAGCTATAAAAGACAGAGAGAGCTGTCAGACAGGGATGCAAGTATGAACCCAAGCAAAGGTGTGAGGGGAGGAGAGTTGGGCGAAAGCATTCCAGACCTGCCAAGCAGTCTAGGAATGGTTTGGCAAAGCTGCAGAGGAATGCCTTATCCAAAGTTGGGCATCTGAGGAGTCCTGTGTCTACAAGGAAGAGGCCTGCTAGGTATCCCTGCCATACTCAATCATTGGCTGGGAATAGCCTGAACAAGTATAGCCTCAGTTCTAAGGCAGCATTCAAAGAGCAGCTTGGGTCCATTAGTCTGTTATGCTCCCTGTAGCTGGAGATCTGCAACTTCTCATGACCACCAGAAGGAGCCAGCCCAGTAGGATTTACCAAAGGCTTGGTGAAGGAAAAGGTGCAGAGCTTATCTCAGATACCAGTATTACCAAAACAAGATGATTCCAGACCCTGCAGCTGACCATTGTTCACCTTTCACCTTGGTGTGAACTGGCTTAGTGATCAGGAACAGCAAACTCAGCAGACAGAATTTCTCTGTGTTTAAGTGAAAATGTGCTTCTGTGTGAAGGCACAATTGGCAATTATTAATCTTCCTCTCCAAAGCTTGTGCAAATTAAGGAGGAGCTTTGAGCTATGAATTTCATTCAGCTCAGGGCCTTCAAAGATAAATGTTATAACTTTTGAAAATTTTCCAGGCCGGGCGTGGTAGCTCACACTTGTAATCCCAGCAATTTGGGAGGCCGATGTGGACTGATCACGAGGTCAGGAGATCAAGACCATCCTGGCCAACATGGTGAAACCTCGTCTCTACTAAAAAACAAAAATTAGCCAGGCATGGTGGCCGGCACCTGTAGTCCCACCTACTCACATGCCTGAGGCAGAAGAATCACTTGAACCCGGGAAGCCGAGGTTGCAGTGAGCCAAGATCGTGCCACTACACTCCAGCCTGACGACAGAGCAAGACTCCAACTCAAAAAAAAAAGAAAGAAAAACTTTCAGAAAGATAATGGCTAATGGTTATCTACATTTCACTGTGTCATTTGCATCCTGTCAGATAACATTACTCCTATCAGTGTTTTATGTTGTTCCTCCAGCCTGTTTTTAAGCAGTTTTCTTCCTGTGGAACAAACAGATAATAGTGGGGGTGACGTGATCTGCTTATTTTTAGACTGCTGCTCTACTGCAAATAGCTTTCCAATACCACTGTGTCTCAGCCCATATGTGCTGCTATAAAGGAATATCTGAGGCTGGGTAATTTATACAGAAAAAAGGTTTCTTTGGCTCATGGTTCTGCAGGCTGTACAAGAAGCATTGCACTAG